TCAAATTCCTTGTGGTTGGGTTATAGATGGTACCAAACGCTTACCTCAGGGAAGACCGCTATCCAACACTCATCAAGTGCCTTTTTAAAAGCAATCACAGTACTGCAGCTTACCACTGGCAGCGGTAAACTGGTTCCATAACGGAATTTCCCTGTTAGTGAAAAATGTTGCTCTCAGTCTGTCAGTTAGTCAGTCTGCACAGGACAGGAGATGGCCACGGCCAATCGAGCGTCCAGATTTCCTCCGGTAGTAAGCCACGTTCAGACAAACGTGTTATCTTTCTTTTCCAGTATCTTACGTTATAATGAGATGTTGTTGATTTCAGCAATGAGACGGTCGCAAAGTTGTTCTTCCAACCGGTCACCATAGTTACATTTTGACGCCCGTTTGTTCAACTGCAGAATGAATTCACGGCACGGAATGTTGGCAACTTTGATCATGCAGTTGAATTTGGCCCGTTCAGTGGCCTGAAAATCCACTGGGAGAATGTGGTCCAACATTAGTGATTTCAACTTCTCGAACGGCAATTCAGCAGAAACATTCGGGAGCGCTAGATTCTTCACCAGGGAATACACCTCTCGACCGCACAACGTTAAAAGTAGGACCGATTGACTTTGCATTCCTCTTTTCCGGATGCTGCACCATAATACGAAACGTTCTACCCACTCTTCGATTTCTGATGGGCTTCCGTGCAGGTTCAATGGTTCAATGACAGGAATCTCCATTGCACGACGCCAAATTGTGGTAATCGGAATAGTAGTGAATTTAGGAATACGAGAATCCGTACTGTACTGCTCAGAACTGAATTGGCTCCAACCCAAACTGCGGACAACAATGAAATGCACGAGGAATTGATAGCAGCAAATGCTTATGTTTATTGATGGAATTAGATCATGTTTTATAGAATGTAATAGTCCATACGATTGGTTGAACGAGCATCCTCGAATCACGTAACCGTTTGAACCGACGTATCATATGTGCTAACTCGGATATCATGTTCTCCCGGTGTACCATTGGTCAAACTTCCTGAACGGTTATTGGATGACATGAAACTGTACCTAATCGTGCATGGATTGCGGTCACGGAATTCTAGATCACCACACTCTTCCAGGTCTTTATCAGAAGACTAAGCGAATTTAGTATAAATAGAAATTATAGAAGCTGACGCTTTAGTGGAAAACAACAATTTAGCGCTCACCGTAGGTCTAAGTCACCCAGTAATGGTCAAAATTACAGTTAGTACCACGCACGTTTCGGTAAAGTTGCTTCAAAATACATCCATTCGTGCTCGTGGAAAGTTCAACTCATTTAAGAAAAGACTAAACTGACGACTGTTTATGGTGTCATCCATTGGCACACGAAATAGGAGCCGCTTTTTCCTAGTTAGGGACTCCATTAATGGTGGTGTCTAGTAGACACTCGTGCGGAAGTGAGCGTCATTCCCCTTCCTCCACTGAAGTTAGGCTCCCAGATCAAGCATTCACCTTGACTGCAAACAACGTTCTCACTATACGTACATCTGGTATCAGGAACCTCACTGTAGATTTTAACCTATCTAAAGCAGTTGAGTGGCCATTCTTGATTGCTGAAGTCTGTTTTCCTATTCTTGGAGTGAATTTCCATCACGGTCTCACTGTCGACACAGGCAAACGTCTCCTCCTCGACAGCACCAACTCGGTCAAAGGTTAAGCAACTGACGCTGTGGCAATAAGCTCCGTTTTAAACAACGGTGTACATTTTGGGTTGTAACGTTTGTTAGAAGATTGTTCTCAACTAATTTCTACAAATTTTCTCCCGGTCACCACACCGGCTACCTATATGAACGTCACAGGAAGCCCACCCGTATATTGCCGCGCACGTCGTTTAGTTCGAGATAAGATGGATTCAGCCAAACGAGAGGTCGATGTAATG